AACGATCAGCTTACATGGATTTGAAGAACAAAATGTTTTTACTAGACGTTCGCAAACACGTCCAGAATTACCAGGTAAACATATACATTGACCATCAACTCCAGAAGGAACACATGTACCTAAAGACAACGTGCTAGATGAAATATTTCGATTGTTATGCCTTTCAAGAGATCACCACATAGCTTATTACGCTCATACACCTAGTTCTCGTGAATTTACCGTTGTTTCGACATGGATTCTCTTGACAGAATGGTACTCGTTTCTCACAAAAGGCTCCAATATAGCCTGGTTCGCATAAACAAATACCAGCTGGCGCCTCGATTAGTATACACGTTCCATTATGTTGACACGGACTGTAGGAACAGAATGTGATATTGCGTAAATCGTATTCACATAATGAACCCGTAAACAACGGCGGACATTGACAACGATACAATAAATCATATGAGGTAACTAGAAGACGTTTAAAATGACGATACTAAAGAATAGTCTAGAATTCTTTCGCGCAGCTCTCTCACTTTATGTTAAAAATGGAAGCTATGTAGATTTAATTATACGCATCGTGTAGAGTATCAAAAGTTACTCACAACTAACTACTTTCTCTATGTTTAAGTCGTGCCAAAAGTGTTCGTCCACAGTTCAACTCACAATTCGACAGTTTTTTGAGATCCTAGAATGACGAAGCTGCTACAAATTTTGAAGTGTTAAATCAACTATCGATAAAATTAAAAAATCGAATGAGATAATTATTTTATGTTTTTATTGAATTTGTATTAATTTTGATCGATTTTGGGCTTCTAACGGAAACTGATGCATGGTTTAACAATGCTTTGAAGTTCGTTCTTGGTTTATTTAAAAGAACACTGAAGTCAATTCAGGTTGATATAATGTACAGTTATTTTTCCATCCTATTTTGAATAGAATCTACTGATTGTAACAGATAGATTTCGGCTTTAGTGGGATAGTTTCTCAGTCAACGATTCCTGAAAAGTAACAAGTGACATCTTATTCTTAGATCAAAATGTGTCATTTTATGTTCTCTTTCCGACGAAGATCATACGAACACTTCAAAGTCTGTTTCAAGTAAATAATTCCTAAAGTTGTCATTATAAACTACGAGCGACCACTTTCGACACGACTTGTACACAGGATAATCAATAGATTTTGACTAAAACAATATTTAAAAAGTCAAACGTCTTTATACCATTTTGACAAGTTCCGCCATTTAAACAGTCGCATTCTCCCACATTCTGTTTGCAATGTTTACCACTATGAGACGGTGGACAAAGACACGTGTAAGAATTATCTGCAGTATTTGTGCATAGAGCTTGATTGTAACATGGATTACTGTCGCACGCTTTTTGTTCATAGTTTAATTTTTCACATAAAGGACCGTAAATATACTAAAATAGAATAGATGACAAAAGTTTCTCTTTTTTGAATATTATTAATAATGATAAACAAACATACCTGTGCACAATGACAAGTAAAATTAGTTTTTGATATCAATTCGCATTTACCCGCTCGACATGGATTTGGATCACATGGATTTGACCAAGTTTGAATATGTATATCTGAAGATTCAGAGATATTCTAGAGTATATAAGAGAAACCAAACTGTGTGTTTATAGTTACTCTGTGAATCTTGAGAACTGATTGTAGACTTGAGAATAGTTAAAATTATGAAACCTGTATAGGTTAATGTAATGGTCGTACACAAATATGTGCTAAAATAAAGTACTAAGTTTTAAAGTAAATAGAAAACTTCAGTTACCTTCTTTTGGTCTTTGTGGTTATCTAGTATAAATCTATTATGTCTAACTCTCTAACTCGCTAGATGTCATAAACATTTTTCAAGATAACAACGAACGCCCCCGTCAGAAACATAGCAGAAACATAATTTTTTTATAAAACATCGATATTGAGCTTAGCACATCATCAGATAGTCCACAATATTTACTACCAGCACTCAATGTTATTTGGTCCTCATCGAAGGGTATGGAGGTTTTTAGAAAAGTTTTGTGAAAACTTTGAAAAGCTGGATTTCGAAAAAGTTTTACTTTCTGATTAGAAAGCAAATCGAAAACTACTGTTAGTAATAATAGGAAATAGAGCAAACATTTCTGATAAAAATGAGATATTTTCCAGCTCTAAATGATGTTTTGATGAAGAGTTATGAGAGTTTTGCTCGAAGCCCTAAAACATGCATCAGATACTGGCGCCACCATATCTCGAAAGCGACTTTGACCGTGACACCATTTGGTAGCTCCAAGATTTCTCAGTAACGAAACATCGCAGAGAACTAGGGAAGGTCTTAAATTGAAGTTGACACATGTGGCTAGAAGCTAATAGAACCCGATTTTTGGTATTCGGTCTAGATTTGTGATTAAAAAACATCTTTACCAAAGTTAATGAGATTTTTTCGAATTTTGGACTTTTGACGCTGACCATCAGAGCTGGGCAAGTCAGGAGTTTTACAAGTCGCAAGTCAAGTCAAATAGAGGTCGGAAAAGTCTTTCTCCCAAGTCAAGTCAAGTCATCCCTTCAAGTTTTTTTCGCCAAGTCAACCCAAGTCTGGTTAAAATTAGGCAGAACATAAAATTTGCTAGCACCTTTTTGGATGAGAGAGTTTTTATAGCCTTAGAAACGCTCTTTCATGGTAGAAAAAGTCTAATTTAAACGAGAATCTCTTACTAGAAATGACTTGACTTGAAAAAATTTTCTCAAGTCATATCAAGTCATACTCTCAGAAAATTTTGGATCAAGTCACGTTTGACTTGACTTGCCCGGTTCTGCTGACCATTAATTTGAAAAGGAAAATATCAAAAATTCGGCTTTATTAGCCTCTAGCCACATGTGTTTTCATCAATTTAAGACCAGCCTGAGCTCTCCACAACGCTTCGTTACTGAGAAATCTTGGAGCTGCGAACAGCCCCATTTTTGTCACTGTTGTGACGACATCTCACAAACCATGCACGATGGCGCTAAACAAAAAATTTCATCATCATACTGTCACAAGATCAGCATCTTCTAAAAGTTGGGTCAAGATCGGACTTATAGTTTCAGAGAAAGGGGGCTTAACCCTTTATCTACCAAGGGGTCATCCATGACCCATTCGTAGACGTGTTATAAAAAGGTAATGAAGCACCAAAAAGTGATGAAAACCAAAATCATTTTTTATCAATCGATAGCTTATGGATTTATCTTGCTCTCACAAGCAATCCATTTTTTATCATATGCTTCATTACCTTTTTATAACAATTCTATGAATTGATCATGGGTGATCTCTTGGTAGCTTAAACGAACTGCAAGAATTTTTCTTTTGCTTGGATCAGAAATACATAGAAAATGACGACTCTAATTAAGTGATTTTGTTTTTGAATTATTGTACAACTAATTTTTGAATTCATTAGTCTATCTACTTATTACCTACAGATACTATATCTTACCTCATTTGATGACGTCTTTTTAAGAATTTCTTTTCTGAAATCTATTTTGAATTTACAACAATCGTTTTCACATCGTCATTAGCTGTGAAATTTGAAAGTCATTGAAAGTTTATGAATACGTAATACGATTAAAGTGGCTATCATATGTCGACTGAACTTGATTGATTAAATTTTTTTCTATGTCATGTCTAACATCAAAAGGTAATCATTATTTAAATGTTGTGATACGATTGTAAATAGAGTGTGTATGTGTGTTCAATAGGAATAATCACAAGTGAATGTTAAAAAATATGCTTTTTCTCAATTAGTCTATCAACTGGATCTACCTTGCATGTATGTAAGATAAACGTCATTCTTACATCTTATGTTTAATTCTTTGAGCAATCAAATTAATATGTGATGTTTATCAGTCTATACCAATTAATGTACAAAACAAACAAAAACAAAGTCTAATCGTACAAGAAAATAAGTAGAGAAACAGAAAAATTGACATCATTACAATAAAAATATTTTAACCAATTGAGTGCGTGTGTGTGTGTTTATATATATATATAGTCACCCGAAAATAGAGTCATATTACCTAGACAAAGCCAAAATCATAACTTGTTTCTTTTTCGTGACTAGTTCAAGAAAAAATAAGATCAGAAATGGATTCTACTAACGACCAGAGTAAAGAGTCAAAAGACTAGAGTCTATTATTATTGAATATGTTCTCGTCAGGTGTGATTTTTTCTTTAATTACCAGAGACTTTGTGTAATATTCTAGAGCTACATCGTAATTCTGTGCTTCAGAAGATACCTTGCTTATATTCCAATAAAAACATCAGCAATTTGTTTTTTTATCTTTTAACAAAAATTTCTGATACTATTTCAAAGTGGTACTGTAATATTGTTCACACATATCATATTCGTTATATTTTTAACACAAATTATCCAAATTACTATATAATTTAGCAATTTTATAATCTACATGTTAACGAGTCAATGGTTTTAGATAGTATTGTTTAGTCATGTCTTAGTTTGACATTACATAATAGATGTATCCAATAGATCTGTAATAAATATCTATGGTTGAATATTCCACTAGTAAAACGGTTCGAAAAAGATGAAACATAATTTACTATTTTGACAGTTTTTCGTTTCATAATTCTGACTAGAGGTGGCATATTACTGTTACGCATGTATTACATTACCCAGCAAAGTAATACTGAAAGGTATTCCTGTTGCTGGTAACAGTAATATTCCATGTATTCCTATTACTAGTAACAGTAATACTGAAAGGATTACTGTTGCTGGGAATAGGAATATTCATAAAATTACTTTTCAGTAAAGTAATACAAGAAATTCTTTTTTTCAAAAGAATATTCAAAAGATTTCGTAACGTGTGCTTGGATGAATATTTCTGCCAGAAAACTTTGAAAAATCAGACGAACATTTTCTCTTTTTGTCTTGCTGAAATGTCTACTATCCTTTTCAAATTATGAGACCTGCGGCTATTTGTTGAATAACTCTAAAACAAAAAGAGTCAAAGAATTCGGGTTTTCATCATCCAAAAGAAGCGACGGTCTACCACGTGTTTTTTTGTTCTATAACATACCATCTTTTTAACGATAAAAATGCATTTTTATCAAAACACTTAATCCAGTTTTGAATACTCGTTATTGAACGTGATGTAGAAGCAACAATTTCAAAAACATTCCATGAAATTAGAGTTGTATTTTGTAACATCTTGAGACCATTTCATTGTCGATAAGAAAACCCGACAATGACAATCTATATCATAAATGTATAATACATTTGTACTTTGTAGTTTATATTTTCAATCTCATTATTTGTTGATGAGCGTCTTAAAGTGACATAATTCTCTTTTGAGTCTCGTTCTCTAAACAGTATAGAAATTAAATAATTCACATTTCGTTTTACATTTAGCCTAAATCCTGTTCTCTTTTTTCTACCTTTTTCTGATACAAATATATGATTTCTTTGAACTTTCTTTAGATTATGTAAAGATGTGAATCTTTTTTAGAATGCAGTTGATTTTGTGGTTATGGAGAGACGCATGTGAATCAAATGGAGTTTTCAGTTATTTTTAATTCTTTTTATTATTGGCACTCGTTTACATAAAAAAGGTTTTTTCTTTAATAAAATATTCAACTTTCAGTAATACATAGTAACTATGATAAAGTAAATAATCTAAATTAAATAAATGCTGTATATGCTCACTAAAGTTGAGCAAAAAAACAGAAAAATATACAAACAGAATTATGAAGAAGACATTCACGACACACGAAAATAATAGAGATACTATTATCTCGAGAAATGAAATGAGGAGAGTGTCTATTCTCTACTACTATTTCAAACAAACATGCCTCATAAAGACTAAAACAAAAGCAGAACCTCTTTCAGTATGAGACAGGACTGAATCTTTTTTACAGTTACTTTCTCTTTCTTTCTTATTCTCTTTTTTTCTCCTATTGTTCTCTGTCGATATTACCATTATTATTGTTCAATAATTAAAATAAAGTCCATAATGAATATAATGCTCTTCTCAGAAACGCGGAGAGGTAAAAAAGAATTTATATTATTATTAAACAAAAACGCCAACGCTTAATACTGATGTTGCATAATGAAACTATTAGTCAAACGAAATTATTTAGTTTAAAAAGTGAATGTTCTTTCAAAATCATTTAGTGTATAACTTTAACATACAGGATAAAACACTCATTGCGTGGTAAGTTTTTTCTCTTATTTGCGATGTCGTTAGCTCATGAAAGTTACACTAGGGATTTTCTCCAGTCAATGTGCTCTATTAGCCACTGATATCATATCCGTACAAAACATATTCTGCTCTCAAGTGTGACTCACTGATCTTGGAAATCGACTATATTCAATTCTCGTACTTTTTTGTCACAAAGTTCACGTATGTTAGCCATCGGATAGTGACTTCCAGCATACAATTTTTACAAAAAATATATTCCACATTCCCATGAAACACAGGTGATGTTGACATATGATTTGATACGGTACGAGATGGTAGAATGTCACGATATCTTTGAAATGTATGCAGAAACAGAAGTTTGAAACATCGATTTTGCCATATATTCTCTTCTTTTCTTTCAGAACGAAAATCCCAATGGTCATCAGTGAACAAAAAACCTTAGCGTTGGTTTTAGTATACATCATCGTTTTAACATGTCTAATTAGACATACTGAAACACGATTTTTATGGGATTTAACAACTTATTGTATAAATCATTGTACACGTTTACCATCACTATCACTCGTCGGTATCTGTTCATGTCATCGGATAACGTCGGCGTCCTATTATCGATTAAAAAATAACAAAAAGTACGCGTGGTTTAGTACCGATAGTAAATAATACGAACAATTTATTATCACAGCAAGTTAATGTTTAAAAAAGTTCGAATAACATGATGTTTGCTTGATGAACTGTAATCTGTCATGAGAGTTAACAGCTAAACAAAATAAATTGAAACAATCGTCTTAAGTAACGGAGAGTGCTTTTATTTCTTATCTTGATATCGTTCTCGGTGAGTGAGATCAATGTTAACTTTCGGAATTCTGACCGTAATTTCCAATTTTCTCGATCAGAACTCAACTTTTTAGCAATAAAAATATCATTTTCGGAATCAGAATCAAAAACTGAGTCGATTGATATGTATGTCTATCCTATCTGACTACTTTGATTTTTTTCGAATTTTCACGTTGAAAAATTACCGAGATTTTCACTC